AGATTTACCTCCACGTGGTGCACCCTGGGCAACGTACACTTATACGGCAAAAAAGCCTATTGATCGGCAGTTGACTTCTGACTTCAAACTTCTATGGCCCGACTATTTGTCATATTCGAGCACTTCACAGTACTCATCTTACCTTTTTTATGCCTTTGTGTCTGTCTGTCTACTTTACCTCTATGAATCATTATTCTGTCTCCCATCTCGACTTTTTGCCACTTTGATGTTCCTTCTCCTCTCTGTGAAGCCCCGAAGTCAGCTCTAGGGCTAATGATAACTTTCAAAACGCCTGCCATTTGATATAAATAAATCTTTTCCGAGCGGTAGTGACAACCAACATATTCTAGGTCATGAAACTCGCATACCAGACCATCGACACTAATCTTAACCAGTAAGGTTGGCCCGCGAATATAACCATAGCTTCACTAAGCCAAAATGAAATTTAGTTAACATCCACTCGTATTTAAACGAGATAAATTACTCACCTAATAGTAGAAAGACAAATGCCAATCCCCACCCATACACCTGAGGTGTTAACAACCGAAATCAAAACTACATCGAAGATGAACTATTAAAGACGAAGGTACTCAAAACACCGGAAAGTACGACAAGAAGTTCCCAAGCACGATAACAATTAACGGTAGAGATAATTCTGCATAAATTAATTGCATTAACCTCTCTTGCCCAATAATAAAACCCCACTTCCGAAATTCGTCGAATACAGCCTGAAAAATTCAAAAGTAACAAAAAATTAGTTTAAAATAGGGTTTAATATTACCGAAGAGATAACAAGCTAGCTAGTCAATGTGCACGAGAAAGGGTAGGGGAATAGAGATCGATTACAAGAGGAGGGCTTTCAGTGCTTCCCTTTGCCATATCTATTTCTACCGTGCCTTCGTCGACGCTTACGGCAAGATTTGGCTTCGTCACGCTGCCCGCCTCCCTCCTCTTCTGTCCCTTCCTCAGTGGCAGTCGGAATTTCGTCAGACTCAGCGTTAGATGCCATCCAATCTCCCTCTCGAACATCATCGGTTTTAGAAGGCTCTTGTAACTCCTTCCCTGATTCGTCTTCTTGCTCTTGTACAATATTAGGCTCGACTAGAGTCCTTTCAAAAATACGTGTCTCCTCTGCTTCTGAACCAATAATTTCCTCCTTTTCGGATTCAGATGCTGATATTCTCTCTTCAACTTTATTTTCAGTTTGATCAGATTTTACAGGTTCTTCATGAAAGATTGTGGATTCTTGATGAGGTTCGCCAATATCACCTTGCACTTTAGTTTCACTCTTTACCTCGGGTGCTAGAGTTATTTCATCAGAATGCTCCTTAAACTCGTCCTGAATCTCATCAGCTTTCACTTCACATAAAGGAGATTCCACCTGTATGTCTTCAGTCTCCTCGAAACCCTCAGACATTTTCGATTCAGGATCTTCAGATGCTTGCCGAACTTCAACAGGTTCCTCATTCATTTCTAAGGATTCTCCTTCATTTTCATTGGCAGATGACATTTCTTCGGAGAGTTTAGTCCCAAACTCAACTACTTCTTCATGAGATTGTTCCTTAGATTCATCCTGAATCACATCAGCTTTCTCTTCACTTAAAGGAGATTCCACCTGTATGTTTTCAGTCTCCTCGAAACCCTCAGACATTTTCGATCCAGGATCTTCAGGTGCTTGTCGAATTTCAACAGGTTTCTCATTCATTTCCAAGGATCCTCCTTCATTTTCATTGCCAGATGACATTTCTTCGGCGAATTTAGTCCCCAACTCAACTACTTTTTCATGAAATCGATCCAAAAACGTATGCTGAATCTCATCTTTAACGTCTTCTGAACTCGTTGGTTGTTTCGCCTCAGATGCTACAACTTCATTCGCTGACTTTGACTCGGATTCGTGCTTAATTCCATCAACTTCAATGTGCTTTGCTTCGAACACTCCTTGTTGTTCATCGACTTGCTCTGCAACTTCCACAAGCTTTTCATTGACCTGTATCGACTCAAACTCAGGCATGGTATCGGTTATTTTTCGAAGTTCCCTAGCTTCATTACTTACTCCGTCATCTTGACTCACGGATGGCTGTTCTTCAAATTCCACATTATCAGCCATTTCCTCAAGTTTAATCTGCTTAAGGACTTCCTTTTCCTCTTCAACTTCAAAGGCTCTCTCAGCAACCAAATTCTCATCATTTTTAGAAATCCCCTGATCGTCAGCATTTACAAATTCTGAGGTTTTCATTAGTTCGACGGGATCATTAATTGACTCTTTAATCTCTTCATCGGACATAACTTCTTCAGGGTCGTCTTTCACTGACGGAATAACTTTTTGTGGCTGCATTGGCTCATTAGATCGCTCGAATTGGTGCTCCTCTATCTTTTCATCAGTGGTTTCCATTGGAACTTCATTAGCATCGTTTGATACTTCAATACTATCTTCGGTACCAATTAGATCCTCTGATTCATAGACTTCATGCTGAGGGTGATCGAATGATTCCAGGTGTTCCTCATTTGCCTGCATTTCCGAATCACCTAGAACTGGAGTCTCTTCGATCGCATCGGGTTTAAGGAGTTCCTGAATTTCATCAGCGATTTCAGTCTCACATTCATGGACAGCGATGGGTACACCTTGTCTACTTTCAGCAACCCCAGTTACGGCAGCAGGTTGGATCACCGGCAAAACTTCATTAGTTGTGAAGCATGTCTCCCCCATAACCCCCTCATCGGAGGATTTTACTTCCTGCACTTGAAGTTCAGGAGCACTGAACTCTTCAATTCTCTGTTCGGTTCCAGATTTTACTGTCTGCGAAGAATCTGTCCCATCCAGATGAGTTCCTGTACTCTCTGTAACTTGAACGTTACACTCTAGGTCATCTTCAAGTTTGGGTTGGGAATTAGCTAACCTAGTCTCTTGCGACCCTGATTCAGGAATACTAGCAGACTCGACTAGAGCTTCAAGTTTAGAAGTTTCAGGTTCATCAGAAGTCTCTAACTTTTGACTTTCTATTTCTGGTAAAGCACTATCCGGCTCAGGTGCATTACTTCCAACCGTATCAGTAGATGTCACCGCCTGGGCTACAACCTCTTTAAAGTCATTATATTCTTCAGTACCCAGAAAAGATTCTTGTTTCGGTTCTTGAGGCTCTAAAACGTCTACTGTTGATGTTGGTTCTTGGTCAGAAATAGTGGTCATCATGCAGAATTCAGTTACTTTGCCATCTTGCTTCGGTTTAATCTCCTCAGATGTAGGAATAGCATCAATATTCGTTTCCATTAGTTCAGAAACGGTTACTTCATTATACTCAGGTTGCGAATCATTCTCCTCTTTCGTTTGGGAATCAGGCTCAGAAGTTATAACTATCTTTTCTGCTTCTCTGGCTTGTTTTTCATCATCTCCTGACGTCGTGACATTTGTTTCATTCTTTTCTCTTTTACTATTCACTACAGACCTATGCAATAATAATTTAAGAGGGAAATTAAGACAGAAAGGAAACAAAATATAAAGAAAATTAAAATAAGTAAAGTAAAGGTGACACTATAATAATACGTATTAAAAATCGAATTAAAACAGTAGAAAAAATGTATAAACGAAGTAAAAACTTGCCTTTCTGCGTCTGAATGTTTTAATTTTTTGTGTTTATCTCCAGAAGAATCGTGATGGAAGATACGCAGTCCAATTCGCCGTAGCAGATCAAGTGTGAAATCTCGTGCCCTAGCTGAGAAGATGGGAAGGGAGAAGAAATTTAATCGGATTTGGGGGACAAAATAGGATGAATACATCTCAGTCAAATTAGTGCGCAGCCAAGCTTACCAAACATCCGCGCGCTAAGCGATTAAAACAAATGTGTGCAAAATCTAGAATCGTCTTTGCTCTATACGAAATAAAGGTCATATCAAAATTTGTGGCGGCGGGATCAGTGTCAGCTTTGTGCGAGTTGATGCAGCCGTATGTGTGTGTGACAGCCGTTTTGATTAGCCCTAATTAAGGTCATTAGTACTTTACGTGTGTTGAAGCTCTCCACCCCCCTCCCCCCCCCCATAGCCAAAAGTGTGTGTGTGTGGGGGGGGGGGGGGAGGGGAAGATGGAGCAATCCGTGTTGAGGAAAAGTTTAGCTAAACTGTTCAGACATATCTGTTAGATGGAATTCATTTTTTATATGAATGGTTTTTTCCCATTCTTAAAAAGACGAAATTTTTATACAAAATTATCGAAATAAAAGGGCATCACTCTTTAACGCGCACGAGGGCTATTAGACATTTAATAATTTGTCCATTTAGACAAGAGTGCGCTGGGATAATTTGGGGGAAAGATTAGCATAATCAGAACAACTGGATTTCGTCTCTTAATTCTCTGCTTGGAATAAGATGAATTGGTGAGCTACAAAGGATACTTTCAAAATTTCTTAATCAAATCATGAACCTGATAAGTGTAGTTTCATAGCTATCAGAAATTAGGCGTTAGAAGCCCTTATTGGTATCGTTCGCCATGGGGGAGGGGGGAGAGAACAGTGATCTCAACGATATTTACACTGCGATTGGTCGATTCGTAATTCGTTACTCCTATAAAAATTCACTCGAGGTGATGATGAACTATTTTAGGGACAGCAATTGATATTGCCAGTTTTTTCACCCATGACAGCCCGCGATTAACTCAACGTCTTCATGGGTCAGACATTTCGTTTTAACCAAGATCCGGTGCAGGCGCCACCTTGCCGCAGCAGATATGAGATGAATTTAAGTCGTTGCGCAGAAAGTTGACTTTGGATCATTACAATCAAAAGATGCCCAAAACGGGTAGTTGTTTTATGACAATCTGATTTATTGTACGCAAGATATGAAAATTTTGAATGGAGTTCTGTCGTCTACCTAATGAAAATGACATTTAAGTAAAAAAATTGAGCAATCGATAACAGAAAAGGTGGGTGTTATTTGGAATGAAAATGACGCCACTACGCTGAACGAATTACCCTAAGTTCGAGCATTCTTTTGCCAATGGAACATAAAATCTGAAGTAAAAGAATTTTATCTAACTTGATAAAAGTGGTTATCTGTTTGTGGCATCTAGTAGGTTTATCTTAGGATAGATTTTTGGCCGTCTAATTTTCGAATGTCCGATTGTTTTAGATGTTGTGGGTGAGCGTGCAAAACTCATAGGCACGATTCATGCATCCCTTAAAGGCGCATTAATTTTACCTCTTCTTATAATTAAGTAATTATGCAATACTATTTTCAAAGGGCAGTATTAATAAAAGGTCCACTTTTGGAGTTTCAACTTTTAATGCACTATTACTGTATAAAAGTGTTCAATTGAGAGTTACTCCCTAAAGTGCAGCATTATCGTAGTTGTTGAAAGGTCCTAAACACGCACAGAGCATTTTAAACCGAGAATGGACAAATCCTGGTAACCACCCCCCCCCCCCCCACAACCACTCCTTCCATGCACCTATTTTGAATTGAAGGTGGAAGTATCCCGCTGTCAAGGCTGAAACCTAATTATGACCTTTCTGTATAATTGTAAATAAAGCGTTTAAAAGCATGATTGTCTATTTACTTATTTAAAATGGCAGGCTTTATGATAGTTTTCATTAATTCTTTAGTTGACTTCTGGCTTCACAGAGGGGAGGAACATCAAAATCACAAAAATTCGAGAGGAGAAAGAGAAGAGTGATTCACAAATGTAAAAGATACAGACAGGCACAGAGGTGGAGAAATTGGTAAGGTGAGGAGAGTACCGTGGAAGTGGGGGAATATGATAAACAATGGGATCAAGGTAGTTCGAAGTTAACTGCCGATTTTTAGACTTTTTGCCGTATGAGTAAACGTTGGTCAGGGTGCACCACGTGCAGGTAAGTCTATCGCGCACCCTGCATGATCGTCTATCGTGACAGGAATTCGCGATCATTCATTTCGTTGTAAGGTCTAATCGAAGTGTGGAATAAAAGAGAAACATTCCCTCCCTCCACGATTCTAATCTATTTCAAGAAGTTAGCACCTGGGAGATAAAGTGAGGATTTGATTATGCATTATTGCACGTTTTTGAGAGAGAGAGAGTTTATTTTACAGTTTACTGATGGTAGCTTTTCTTAACTATGAGTGTAGGAAGAAAGTTAACTGAAAGTCATTGATATAACGTTACTGCGGAAGAATTAACTGGCCTCTAAAGGAGAGTAAAAATCACGTTTCATTCAAATAGTGGCTTTCAAACAGCAATCTAATAACGTAAATCAACAATCACATAAAATTGAAAGTTAGGCTCTACTAGATACGTGTTTCTACTTAAAAATGATGGTAGTACTTAGAATAGCCGCCAAAATAGCTCCTTTGTGAGCTGAACAAATTACCCAGATTCTGGAGTAGTAGTTTGATGGGGAAAATTACCGGGGTAAAAAGGCATATCCTCCAACCTTCTTGTTACTCTGATTAACAAAATAGCAGGGCAGTAGTTTAAAGAATCTCCATTTGGGGTGAAGTCGAAGTATTCTGCAGAAAATTTTAGAGAGAAGGAAATTCAATGCGAATATTCATGTGACAAAAAAGAAGACTGTAAACTAAAAAAAAAGATATAGAATTTACACCAGGTGATGGTAATTAAATTTCCGGAACTTTACTTAATATGTTAATTGAAAAAACAAAGCGCAAAAAAACGAGTTTAATGAATAGACAGGCTAATTTCGCGTCTAGGCACGATAGGCTTTAAAGCCCTCCAGATATATTCAGGCAGGGGTGTGCGATAGACTTACCTCCACGTGGTGCACCCTGGTGGGTGTGCGATAGACTTACCTCCACGTGGTGCACCCTGGGAAACGTATACTCATACGGTAAAAAGTCTATTAACCGGAAGTTTGTGTGCGATAGACTTACCTCCACGTGGTGCACCCTGGGCAGCGTATTTTCTTACGGCAAAAAAGTCTATCACTCGGCTTTCGTTATATTCATACGGCAAAAAGTCTATTAACTGGCAGTTAACTACGATAGACTTACCTCCACGTGGTGCACCCTGGGCAACGTACTTTCTTACGGCAAAAATTCTATCACTCGGCATTCGTTTTTCAATAGACTTACCTCCACGTGGTGCACCCTGGGCAACATATAATCATACGGCAAAAAGTCTATTAACCGGCAGTTGATTTCTGAGTTCAAACTATCATGACCCCACTGAATATCATATTCGACCGCTTCCACAGTACTTACCCCACCTTTCATCTACCCTTGTGTCTGTCTCTTTAACATCTTTAAAACACTCCTCTGTTCCCCACCCCCGCCCTCTCGACTTTTTTCGCTTTGTTATTCCTCCCCCTATGTGAAGCCTGAAGTCAACTGAAGGGCTAATGATAACTATCATAAAGCCTGCCATTTGATATAATTAATTAAATAAATATATATTTAGGCAAATTGAGATCTAAATGGAGAAAATTCACAGTCATATTCACAAGTTGTATGACTCCATCTCCTCCCTCTCTTCCCTTTTAAGTTAAACTGTCCCAAATTGAGCCAGTGTGTTTGCGGATTTTGTTAACAATCAAAGTCACAACTTCAGTTGACTGCAAGTTCCTGATTGATTAGATTCCTAGAAGATGATGGATAAAGTGTAGCAGTTACTTTGTAGTTGTCCAGGCGAATCCCTGCTCTAAATGAACCTTATAATACTCAGCTAGTAACGTGTTAGCATCAATTCACTTCAGTAAGAGGAAGAAACTAGGAGATAGGGTGTACAAGTATTTCTAGACAAGTCTAAATATGCAAATTTTGCACAGCTGCAAAACCGATTCAGTAATCGGCTAGGCTTAGCGTTGCTTTAAGCGAGTATTAGTCTCTCATTAATTGTGAAGGCAGCTTTTGATACTCAATCCTCAGTCTCCTTCCACCCCCGACGGTACGCGAAAGGCGACACGTATTGTTGGCCTTGAATTGGTCTGCTCGCAATTGTCCTGTTGAGCAAATAATCGCCTCACTCTTTGGCGGTAACATTAGAATAACGTGTCGAATGTTGAACACTATAAAGTGCGTCATATTGAAATGGTGCTAGGGGAAATGGATGCTTTCACAAAATTTCATGAATTGTCAATAATTAGTGACAAGAAGAAAATAAAATAAAAGACAAAGGGCAAGAAATGCACTTTTCAATGTGAAGCCCACTTAAAGAGCAAAGCTATTATACAGCTTTTTTTCCTAAATCGAATTTCGCATTCGAAGAGTAAAATACATATTTAAAGTAATAAAATTCGAATTTCCTATTATTTTCGCCTAGATTCTCGAGTTAATTATTGACAATTAAGCTTTGTACCTAGTGATTGGAAAATTTAGTATAATCTTTGGTGATACGGGGTGTGGGATAGACTTACCACCACGTTGTGCACCCTGGAAAACGTGTACTCATTGGGCAAAAATTCTATAAATCCGAAGTTGACTTCTGAGTTCAAACTACCACTGTATGCCATATTCCACCACTTCCACAGTACTCACCTCACTTTTTTCCCTACCTTTGTCTGTCTGTTTTTCACCTGTGAATCACTCTTCCTTCCCCCCCCCCTTGACGTTTTGTGACTTTGTCTGTTCCTCCTCCCTTTGAAGCCCGAAGTCAACTAAAGGAAGCATAGAACTTAGTGATTGGACAATCGAATATGATCTTTGGTGATGCTTCATCATTACAGTATTTTTGCCAAAGGTTTTTTCGCTAGTTCAATTACCTTGCACAATATTTATCGGATTCACATGATCTTAGTGTAGCCGATCGGAGAAAATAATATTTTTTGTGTGCTAAATCTCTTGTATCTGAAAGCAGATGCAAATTAGCCCATGATTGAGGCGTTTTACTTAATACACTAGCTAACACACGTGACCGCATAGCCTGCATCGAAAAGACATATTTCAGTTGGACGTATCTTCACAAAAAAGAGTATAATCTAATATTTTTCAAATAAAACAAAATTAATAAATTAGGAATTAATTAAAAAGTAAAATTATTTGAAGAAGTCGACTTAAAAATAACACAAGTAAGTTTAAATTTCGAATTGTAATATGTGCGAGGGGAGCAACTTGTAAAAATAAAAAAAATACAAAGTGTAATAAATTAAAAGAGGAAACAGAAATATCTTCAAGTTGACAGCTTCCACGTGAAATTGTCACGAGCAAACTTAGAAGTAAATTTAATATGACGAAATTGTGATCAAATACGAACGGGACGATATCACGAGCATTACATGTAGATAACTGAGGGTATATAAACGTTTGCAATATCAAATTATCCACAAATAACCAAGGGTAAGCGAAGCAAACACCCCTAAGTTTCCATGTTTCAACAATACTTTAATAAAAAACCCTAGTAAATAAACATTCATTTCAAATTTAGAGTTACTCATGGAGAAAAAAGAGCAAATACGCCAAACCCAGCCAAGACAAGCGGTGGACGACGGTACATCAGCTGAGAGAAGAGATGCCCAAATGATGTACACATCAAGCATGGAGAAACAAGACCCAAAGCCTACAACACAGGTTATGGCGACAGTTGGAGAGGCGAAAGAGGATATGCCAATGGAGGAAAAGCAAAAGAGTAGCAAGATAACAGGAGTATGCGTGTGTTACATGGAAACAGAAGATGAGGAGAGTGAAAGCGATGAGAACGTTCCTGGTGAGGGAAGTGGCAAGGAAGATGAGACGAGTGAAGGATGTGAGGTTTCAGAACCCGAAGAGGAGGATAAGGAAGAAACTGATGGTGGTTGTGATGT